AGTTGCCCAAAAAAGAAACACTTGAATGAGAAATAAAAATAGGGACGATGCCCAGAAACCAAAAGCAGAATAGAGTCAAACTCCAAAGACCAGGAACAAGCAAGATGCAACAATATATACCCTTGGGGTAGAACACTCTAGAAATAAAACCTTATAGGGAACAAGTTACCAAAAAGGGAGTAGAACTTGGATTAATTAACATCACAGCTCCAAAGACCTTTGGGAGGAAATCTCAGGCTCACCCTGAGTGGATAAATGCTTCCCAGGGTTTCAAGTCTGGTTGTTTCAAGGGAGAAACTGTCTGATTCTGAATTTTAACCTTGTTCAGTCTTACAAACATTTGGCTCTTGGATGATGCCCTGGTCTTGCCATACTTTTCCCACCCAGGCCACTGTGATCCCATCAACTCCAGAAATGCCCTCTTGCCCCATAGCAAGGGCACGGGAAAAGGCTTGGAAACATCCCACAGTCTTCTCCAGCCCCCTAAAAATGATGGCTGGCCTGCCTGCCTTCCTTCCCAGAGACCTTTTCTTTTTTTTTTTATTGCAAGACCCAATTGTCATGCAGGTCCTCCTGGCTTGTGGAGGGAGCTGGGGTTTCTCCACTCCTTCTGTTCTCCTGAATTTTGCTGCTTCATGTGATTTCATCACATCTGATGAAGGCAGAGACCCAGAACACCCCACCTGTGCCACAGCTGGCTGAATTGGACAAAGTCAGAGGTGTTCCAGGCAGCCAAGGGGCAGAAAAACAACTGGTGGGGGGAAGCTGGAAAAGACACAAAGGTGGGCCCAGGAGCAGTGCTGAGCCCCAAATCCAGGCTGCAGAGACCCAAACAAGCTGCTGGGCATTGTCTCTGCTCACCAGGGATCTCACTGAGGGGGCAGGAAGGGGAAGGGTGAGCAGTAAAGCTCCTGTGGGCAAAACCCTCAGGTTTTAATCATTTAGTGACCAAGAAGGGAAGTTGCAGAAGCCCCCCAGCATCTCCCCCCACCCAACTCCAGCTCCCAGCAGAGACCCAAGCACTGGAGCACAGCTCACCAACTCCAGCCTAGCCCAGCATCTCCAGGAGACAAAACCAGCACCACTCCCACCCCTACTTTAACAGCCCTCACTAATTAGCCCTGATGGCCCTCTGAGCTCCTTCTGCCTTGCTTTGCAGTGGAGGGATTTCCCTGCTGAGCCCAGCTCTGTTCACCCCTGTGATGGGGATTATAAAGTGATGGGTCTCAACCCTTTCCCTCTCTCATTTGTTGCTTTCCCTCCTTTCCTCCTTCCCTGCTGGTCCCCCATCCCCAGCAGCCACAGGGGGATGTCCATCCCTCCCTCACCTCCCTTCTCTGAAGGGAGACCTCTCTATTCCCCTTCTCAGCCCCACCTGGTGTCTCACCAGCTCAGTGGGGTGTAGGGAGCTGGGGACGAAGCCATGGGAGCATCTCCACTATTCCTGAACACCATCTCCCCCAGGAGAAGGCTTTGTGGATGTTTCCTGCCTTACTCTGCTGCTGAACTTGCAGCTGCCTGACCCCAAGCCCAGCTCCACGGGCTCCTGCTCCCTCCTGCAAGGCTCCAGAGAGTTCCCAGCCCCAGCCAACGCTGTAGGACACCTCAGGGCAGCAACACGTGACACAGATGTGGCAGCTTACAGAAAGGACTTGGGGAGTCTCTTCCCCCTTTTTATTGAAAATGATAGTTTCTATTCTAGTGCAAACACTGTACATTTTACATCACAAAGCAAGAGATCATTTACAGGACACAATTCCGTCTGGAAATCCCGTGGCTTCACGTGTCGGGCTCCGACAGCCTCGTCAATCATCCATCCCTGTCATGCAGAAAATTCCCACTTTGAGGGAACCAGTCACTCATTTCTCTGTTGAGAAAGGGGGAGCCTGAGAAAACAGTGCTCGTACAGAGTAGGCAGGAGGAAAGCGCCTTAAGACACATCTCCTCCCCTGAATGGTACCCAAACTTTAATGATAACTGTGGTAACCATGGCAACTTCCCAGAGCTACAACTGAGAATCTACTGAAACCCTGGAGAACTCCACTCTCTGAGGATAAAGCCCTTGATTTGCACATATATTTACATGGTTTAATAAAATACAGATTAAACATACACAATTCCACTTTGGCTTGATGGACAAGAAGTCGATGTCTTTTGGCTGAGGTCATCAGCAGCTAAGAAACAAACACTGAAAGCTGTCTGTTCATCCAGCTGGACTCTGGTTACTAAATCCACGTAAACAAAGCAATATTGGGTCACCAAAGGGGATGTAAAGGTCTTATCTGAACTGACAAGTGCCCAGTCAGCTGTGCTGGCATCCCTGACCAAGCAGCCCGACCCAAGGCAAGACCCAGCTCAAACTGGAGGTGCAGAAGCTTCCACAGCCTTCCTGCAGGAGCAGCCCCATGCCAGACAATTCAAATAAAGTGAGGAGGCTGAGAAAGGGCTGGCACAGGCATTTGTGAACCCCTTCATGTGAAAACCACAGCGTGGGGATGGAGATCTCGGTCCACAGCTGGGCAACGAGGCACCAGGAGCTTCATGCTCCCTGAACTGCCCCTTGGAAACCTCAGAAAGTGGTGTCCCTACACAGCAAACAACAGCAAAAGCTGCTCAAGGTGGTTTTTCTACTGCAGAAAAGCTGAGCAAAGACTGGGGGAAAGCCCCAGACCATCGAGACACTGAAGGGAAGAACTGAAACTCCAGGGTGAAGGCTGGGGAATTCATCACTGCTGGGATGGTGGTGGCTCGTGGAGGAGGGCAGCAAGGCAAGGAGAGTGGAGAGCAGCAGCTTAAGGTACTCAACAAGCAGCTCAACCTCTGAGTGATGTTACTCAAAGGCACTGGGTCCTTTCTGACCACATTCTCCGATAGTTTGTGTGTTTGTGTAGGCACGGGAAGCAGGAGTGAGTTTCCAAGTGCAGCCTGAGATTTCCAACGTGATCACTTGGCTCTAGGAGCTGGGCCCACACTGTGCAGGACAGAAATATTTTGGTTTGCACACGTTAGGTTCTCCAGACTGCAGGTGGCCAAAAAAAAGAGCGATCAAACAGAACATGATGGATTTCTTTAAGTAAAGTACTCGCCCTGCCTCCCTCTCCCTGGTGTTCTGCCATTTTCAGCTTTTTGTCCTGATCACAACTGGGTGTTTTTTTCCCTTTAAAAATACCCACACAGGGAGAAAAAAAAAAATAAATCCAGCAGCAGTGCATACAATCACAGGCACAACTTACTCCAGTTTGGATTTGGGGCTTTTTTCCCTTGTGCTAGCTCAAATATTTTGGCTGGGTTTCCATTCATCCTCTGCCAGTTTAATTTTCACCTACACTTAAAAGAGATTTATTCCTCATTTCCTGCAACATGCTGTTTTAGACTATCAAAGCCCACTGTCAGACATCTACATATGCTCAGGGTGTCTCTGCAGCAAACACCAGGATGGGGATCTAAGCCACTCTACCAGAAGTATTTCTCATGACTGAGCTTCATTCTCCCATCATGGTCCAGCCTGGACCATGGAGTAGCTCTGCTGCCTTCAGTGGGGCTATTCCATGGCAAAGCCCATCTCAGCTTGGACACAAGTGCTGTTTGTCATAAATCAACCCCCTCCTCCCCCAAAACGTGAGAGGCAGGCAATGAGAAAGATCCTAATTTCCTCAGGATGCTTGTGGGGAAGAAATGCCCTTTGGGCTGCATCTCCTCTACTCTTCATGGAGATAGATAAATTAGGTCCTAATTAGGTCTCCAGAGCCCAGAGGGAGGAAAACAGGCAGGGAAAATGGCTGAGGTTACAGGAGAAGCCTTACTGGGCAGTGTTATGGGATCTTTGGTGGGATGCTCCCTGCTGAGACATCACCTGTGCTTGCTCAGAGAGACTTTATTTTTTTTTCCCTGGGGATACCCCTGCATGTTCCCAAGAGCCACATGAAGCAGTCTGACTGCAGAGGAGATCCTTGCTGTGTTCTGTGGAGCTGCCCCATGGGGAAAAATCTGCAAAAGAGTGTGGCTCCCTCCAGCACCACTTCTTTGGGCTTTCTCATGGGAGGGCATGAGCATTTTCATCCTTTCCCAGTGCTGCCCAAGGCTGCAGGGAAGAGCTCTGACAAGGCTGTGGCTGGAATTTCAATGCACAGCTCCACCTGGATGCAGCACAAACATCCTGAACGTTTTCAATGGATTTTATTTTGTTTAATAAAAAACACCAACCAAGCTTGCATGTATTTATATATATAAATATATACAGTATATATAAAACAAATGCATCTGGACAACGCCTTTCCCTGTGGCACAAACTGTAAGGCATAGAAAGGAGTGTCCTGACAGTCCTGTTCTTGAACTACAGAGAGATCCCCCTGCTACACTCCCCCTGCTCACACACCCACGTTGGCTTTTCTCTCTTCTTTGGCTTTTCCAGGCAGCAGTGCTGGGAATACTCAACAAAACAATGGAGCTCTGCAGAGCCCAAGGAGGTTTTCCAGGCAACTCAGACAGCAGGAATGCATCTTGTTGCATTAAATGGGCTTCTCACAGACTGATAGGAATGTGCTGCCTCTGTGGCACAAGGGACTGGAGGGATTGGGTGGATATCATGGGAATTGGTGACCAAACAAATTCTTCTTCTAGGGTGAGCTGGGGCAGCGGGGAGATGAGCAAGCTTTGCATCTCAGCATGTGGTGGTGGGACTTGTCCATGGGCTGAGATTGGCAGAGGTTTCTTTTTGCAGTCCCGTACAAAAATGGAAACCAGCAAGGGTGAGACTGTCCTTTACTGAAGAAGCTCGTAGTATATTGAGCAGAAGCAATAAACCCGACGATAACAAGAAAAAAAACAAAACGGTGGCATTATCCCAAAAAGGAAGGAGGAACCTCATCACTCACAGGTTCTGTTTGCTCCCCGTGTTCAGTTCTGGGTAAGGGTTGGCTTTTTTTTTTAATTCTTTTTTTTTTTTCTCTTTTCTTTTTATTGTTTTTTTTTGTTGTTGTTCTCTTTTTCTTTCTTTTTTTTTTTTTTTTTATTTTTCATTTTTCCTTTCAGCACAGACAAGCCGCGAAGCAGGACAGGTGCTGTTGTGTCTTCTCCTTCTGCAAAAGCAGCTGCCTGCAGTTGTTAATTGACTGTGGGCACCTGATTCCTCTGTAAACTATATTCCTTTGCCTTCAGTCTCAGGTTGGCAATACTGTTGGCCATGTTCATGCCCTGTGCTGGGCTGGCGTTGGTACACGTGGCAGAGTAGGTGGCCATGGCACTGAGGGATGGAAAGACAAACATCACATCAGACATGACCTCCAAACCACAGCAGAAATCACCAGAAGAGCCTAAACCCTGGTTTTTTTCCACACCAGTGGGGTGCACTCCTGCTGTCAGCAGGGAGTTACCACTGCCCTTTATTTAACACCCCTTTATTTAACGTTTTTCCCCTGCAGCTCACTCACCCAGCACCAAAGCTGCTTGAAGTCAACAGGAAAAATTTCCACCTCCTGTTTTCTAACCCAAAAAAAGGTTTGCAATGAGGTCAGCCTGCCAGTTAGACCATTGTCCTTAAAAGTATTCCCACTGGAAGCAATGTCTTTTTGATGAGACCAATTGCTGGTTTTTACAGCCTGTGAAATCACGTCACTTCTGAAACACATGTTACATTAAAGAAACACTCTGGGAAAAAAACCGTCTCAACAATTGTGATGTTTTCTGGTTTCAGCCATTTGGAATGAGAATTTCCACATTTTTTTCCCCCCCCTCAAAACTTCAGCTGATTATAAAGAGCATGTCCTAAAGGCTGAAGGAAAAAACCCAAAACATAAACCGCTTTTTCTCCCTTCAAACCGCAACTTTATTCATGAAAAACATCACTTCTGACAGCAGAGGCTGAACAAAGATCTCAGACTCCTTTCTTATCCTACCAAAAAAATCTGCAAAGCTGCTCTCCAGACCACTGGAAAACTTGTTTAATCCATGTGTCCCATGGGTTTCTGTGAAAAGCAGCTCCCTCCACTGCCAACTCCCCAAAACCCAGCATAATATTTGACTTGCTGCATTTCTTTACAGGTCAAAATCACCACATGAACGAGAGGTGCCCATTTAAGAGAGTGTTCAGGAGGAAACCCCAAATGCTGTGCTGGAGGCCAGCTCAGCTCTGCTGCTGACCTTTTCCATCTGCCTGCTCGGGTGGCTCACAGCTGAGACTGGGAAATGCTCTGCACCATCCACAGACCAAAAAAAAAACCAAGAAGGGTTGGGTTTTTTGCCTTTTTCTGTATTTTTTTTTAATAAAAAATAAAAATCCTTCCAGCATTGACCTCCACAACTGGAAATGCCTTTGCAACAGCAAATGTCCCTGCAGGGACATGGGCACCTGCTGCACAGATCCAGGCTGGAGCTGTGCCTGCTCAGCCCGAGGTTCTGCTGGCATTTCTGACCTCCCAGGAGTTCATTTCCCACCCAGTGCTTTGTGAATCCTCAGTCTGCAGGAGATCCAGAGCAGGGAATATCTGTGTTTCATCAGCACCCAGAACACGTGGAGATGTGTTTCTGGAGCTCTTCACCAGCTGCATCCCCTCAGCTCCCTCTCCATGCCTGGGCTGGCTGCTCTCCTCACCCCTAGGTCAGCAGCAATGGGAGAAGTCAAGTGCTGCCTGCCTTCCCAAAGCCCCACAAGAAGTAAAGGTGGTGGCTACTTAAGCCCCCAGGCCCATCTGTTTCCCCAGGGTGCATCTCTCCCATGTTTTTGAGCTGGAAGAAATTTGGAGACCTTCAAGGGGAGTTTTCAGTCAGGGGTGTAAACTGTCCCCATCCAAAACCAGGTTGCTGGCCAAGTCTGGGCTGAAACTCCTGGGAGCCTCTGGCTCCCAGGTCCCCAGAGGTGTGGGGAAGATGATTTCACTTACTGATGACATGTGAAATCCCTGCTAAACTAAAAATCTTCAGAAGTGCTTTCTTTCAGCAAGTTATTCCACAGGAAGGCTGTGTCCAAACACCAGAGTATCTTGAGGATTGCTCCAGAGACTCTCCAGGCTCTAATAAGGGTTGAAGTCACTCTGTTGCCCCCTCCCTCCACCCCATTCAGGCAGAGAAAAATCTCCTTCTTCCACTCAGCTGTCTGCTTTCATGAAACACAGAGGAGCATCATGTTTCTGAGGCCTAAAATCCTTCTTTCAAATAAGGTTTTCAGTGGCCTGTGGAGTCAAAGGTTGCTGGAGTGGAAGTGTGGGCTGCCAGTCTTGTTTTTCTAGGAACCTATGCTAAAAAATACCTAAGAAAAACATTTTTTCAACTTCAAAAAAAAATAATAGCATCTACTTGGCTCTCTGTGCCACAGAGATCTGCAAATAGCTTCGGCTGACCTGTGGCTGAATGTATTTGGAGAATAAACACAAGGATTGAAAACTTTTCCTGGATCTAAGAGTAAAACCAGCCCTGGGCACGCAGCTCCAGGAGTGGCTGTTAATCAGGGGCTGGTACAGCACTGCTGGGAAGATGGGGAGGGGGCAGAGGGCCATGCAAACACTCCACATGGATGAAGGGTTTCAGTATTATTTCACCAAGGGTCCAACATTTTAATGACCTTACTCACTGCAAAGCTTTCATGAGGCTGTGACAGCCCAGCCCTTTCAGATGAATGGGGTGAGATGATCAGTATGATTAGATGATCAGTAGGATTAGGAAACCTGGGGAGCATGGAGAGCCTGAGGAGCCTGTGCATCCCACAGAGTGGAAAGCAGCTGCTCTGCTCCTCTTCCAGTGGGAGGGTGGCACTCCAGCCTGCTCTGATGTGTGAGCTGTAAATGTCTTTGCTGAAACATCTTGGCTTCAGGTAAGGGGAAGATGCATCGTGGATAGGCACAGCCTGGACCTGAGGGGCTGAAAACCCATCCCTGAGGCTGTCCCTTCTGCCCTGTTCTCATCAGCACATCCCAGGGGCTGCAAGTGACCTCAGACAGCACTTCCCAGGGTCTTCTCCTAGCAGAGATTATGAAGCCCCTGGGTAAAGAACATCTTGGGAGGGATGAGCTCTTTTCCAAAGTGTGAGAGGCAGAAATGAGCATTCAGCAGGGATCTGGAACTGTGACCAGCGCAGTCTCACTGGGGTGGGGAAGGAACTCACTTCCCTTCGCCTCTGAGAATGCTGTACCAGGGAACTCTTCACAGGGAGAAAGCCTGAACCCCAAAAAGAGGGATTTTGACAGAGAGCAGTCCTCAGAAAAAATCCAAAGGATAAGGGCCATTTCTAAAACGAAGCTGGTGGCCACCAACAGCATCCTTTTCCATGTCTGGAGTGGGTGGATCTATGACTCTTCTGGAGATACAGGGTGGATGAGGAGGACCCCACAGAACTGAAGCAACGGGAAGAGCACGTGTTTGCAGCTCTTACTGTGCAAACACTGCTGGGAGCAGAAAGAGGGTCAAGGTGGCCGGGTAAGAGAGGTCCTGTGCGTGCTGTGGCTCCTGGAAGGCAGTGGGAAACTGGCAGTGACCAGGCCAGATGAACAGGAAGAAATCCAGCCACAGGCTTCATGGTCCTGACCAACAATGAAGCCACTGTGCTAAAAACCACCCTCCAACCTCCTTTTTAACTGCCTGTGAGCCAGCTGGCTCCCAGAAACCAACACATCCTGTGGATCTTGTGTCCACACCCAGCTCCTGCAGAGCCAGGAACGGCACAGAGAGGACAGGGAGGCCTGTGATGTGCACGGACATCCCAGATCCTCTGAGACTGGGCTTGCCACATCCGTGGCTCCTTTCCTGTCATCCCTTGAGCAGCACTGACCACAGGAGGTGGGCACTGAACACCAGTCTGTCACCTGGCCCTTAATGCAGGCGTGGCATTCACACACACGCTTGTGCTCAGGCAATAGAAACTGCTCACCTGAATAGAAACTGAGAGCACTGCTCCACATGGATGAAGTGAGTTCCCAGCTTTTCCTGGCACCCCAAGCAGTGACTGCCACGGGACAGCCACGGAACTCCCTCTTCTGGCCACTGTGTGGTGGCTGAACCTCCCCGAGTGCTCTGACCTCCCCTCCCCTGGATCTGTGTCCCACAGAAAGGTTTCCTCCTTGCTATAAACTAGGGAAAACCTTCTGCTTCCATGGATTTCTACCCGAGCCTCTCTGGAAATTTCCTGAATTGCAGAGAGAGACCCCCAATAAAAACAACGATGCCGAGCTGGGACCACACTGCAAAACCAGCAGTGAGACGGGGTGGGAAGAGCTGAGGAAAACCAGTGTGATGGTCAGACTGCTGTGTGCTCCAGCTGTCCCGTGTGGGTACATCAGAGCTGGCCAAGGGCCACTTTTGGGATGGCCCAGCGGGGTTACTCACTTACCTGTAGGGCGAGGCGGTCCCCCAGGAGAGATAGTCGGTGGGTCTCGGAGCGGGGCGAGGTACTATGGGCTGCTCCACGGCCGTCACGTCCCCTGAGTAGGATTTGAGCAGAGAGGCGTTCTTGCTGGCCAGCATGGCCCTCTCGTTCCGGCGGAACTTGGCTCTCCGGTTCTGGAACCACACCTGGAGCGGGGAGAGCACAGAGCCACCAACCCTCACAGCCGGCTCTGCTGTGGCACCCGCCCCATCCCCTGTGCCCTGCAGGCTCTGTGGAAGCTGGCTGCTTCCCAGGGAACCCTAAGGATGAGATAACCCTCGTGCCTGCTCTGGCTGAGGGACACGGGTGTCCTGTGCGGAAGGCAGCGAGGCCTGGCGGCGCTGTACAACCCACCCCGTTCCACCGCCTGCTTTGGCCCTCAGAAGGTGCAGGCCTGCAAGCTGAGAGCTCAAGACAACATGAGCCTGCTTTGGCCCTCAGAAGGTGCAGTCCTGCCAGCTGAGAGCTCAAGACAACATGAGCAGCCTGAGCATCCAGCACCTGGGCCCCGAACGAGCCGTACGGACACATCTGACCGGGCAGGCAGCAGATCGGGCCTGGCACTCTCCCTCAAGGCATGGTGCTGCAGTGAGCCAGGAGCTTGGTGACCCTCGTGTGCCACACAGGCCTCAAGGATTTCTGCTGCCTCGCTGGAGTGGCCTGATGATCCCCCAGGGGAGGGGGGAAGCTGTGGGATTACCTGAACTCTGGCTTCAGTGAGGTTGACTCTGCGTGCAAGGTCTTCCCGTACGAAGGCATCGGGGTAGTGTGTCCTCTCAAACACCCTCTCTAGTGCCTGCAGCTGGCTGCTGTTGAAGGTAGTCCTGTTCCTCCTCTGCTTTCTTTTCTTCTTCTCTTCTGAGTTCAGCTGATCATCTAGGAGAGACAATAGGGGATGTTAAAAGTGAGAAAGCTACCAGCCCGCGGCCACGGGGTGAACGATCTCCATGGATTCCAGAGGGAAGGGGCTTAGGAAGGGGCTTGCACAATTCCAACCCCACACGTTAACCACGCTGTGTTAGTCCCCACATGGAGAGGAGGTGGAAAGGGCACTGACCCCAAGCATTTATTTTTCAATTCCACCATGTAAGATTTAAACCAGCACTCTCAAGCTACCCCAGGTCTCAGCTTCCTTATCTCCAAAAAGCAGCACAGAAGCCCAAAATGCATCTCCCCACTCCTGACAACTCCAGAAATCTTTTCTGACGGCAAAGAATCAAAAAACCCTGTTCCCTTGGCTTCGAATTTCCAAGGACTGCTCTTACTGGGATGTAATGCAGCTCTCTGGGCATAATGAAATTCCCAGATTCCCAGACATAAGAGCATGTTGGACATTGTTAGTGAGGAGCAGTTGTGCCCTCTGCAGCATCCTCCTCGCCTTGCTGAGCCCAGCAAGGTGTTGAACAATCACCCAGAAGAGCACATACCGCTTTGTACCTGGTTTGCATCTACTCAGAAATTAATCAATGCATCTGGATCTCGCCAGTATGTGTTGGGGTGCCACCAAAAAAATCCACGTTACCCTGGGGGGTGGGCATCTGAGCCAATATTCATGTCAGCATCAAAGTGTATCAATCCCTGAATCCATCAAAATTCATCAAAAAAAATCAGATTCTAAGTTTGTCAGTGCACACCTTGGCCCAGGTGACAGTGTCACCACTGAGAGTGCCAGGGCTTGACCTGCTTTGCACAGATGGTGAAGGCCCCCTCAACGCTCCCTCCTTTTGCCATGCACAAATATGACAGCCCCCCCTTATCCCCCTCTTCTCCAGGGGGTATGTAAGGCACAGGGAAGGGCTGACAAGGACATTTAAGTCTGCAGTTGTTGTCCTCACCACCTGTTTGTGCTGCTTCCCGCAGCCCATCTGGTACCAGTTACTGCACCTGAACACCTCTGGAGCAAGGCCCATCCATTTGGGAACAAAAGGACATTCCTCTTAAATTAAAGTAGGGTTTTCAAATTCCTTTCAGGTTTACAGTGCCTCAATTCTCCTCCAACAGCCTGATGAGCCCCAGAAGGCTTCTCTCCAGCCTGGGGACTCCTGGGTGCAAAAACACGCCCTTGGTTTTCCCATATCTGAGAGGAAGTGTTTGGAGACCACTTTTAACAGGCAGGCTGAGTTGTAAAGCTGAGCTGGGAAGGGACTGGCAGAGGCAGGAATGTGCAAGAAAAACAAAGGCACGCAGGAATTAAAGCTGGGCCACAGGTGGATCTATCAGCTCAGGTTGGGGGAAGCAGGGCAGTGCAGCAGAGGGATGGGATTTAACTGCAGAACCCCCTGCACACGTTTCTCCCTCCTGGGGGGTTTAACACCATCAAAGGGTCCATCCCCTATAAAAAAGGAGAAAAACCCTGCATGTCCCTCTCTTGACTCATCATCAAACCCTTCTCAAAAGGGGTCAGCTATTTCCCCCTGGCTCTGCTGGCGAATTTCGACATGGCTGTGCTGCTGTGCACCACACAACACACAGCAAACGAGCCTCAGGGCACAGGAGTCCCTCCAAATGCCACAAAGATTGCGAGACCAGCTGCTGGAGAGGCCAAAGACAACACGGCCTCCTCTGGAGTTACCCATTTCAAGCTATTTTCTAATCTAAACCCTGAGTAAGAACAAATCAATAAAAGCCTTTGGGACCCCTTCAGAATCCCATGCAGGCCTCTGAAGCCTCAGTTTCTCCCCTGAAGACAACACCTGGCTGGAGGGAACACGAGCCCGTCTGGCTGGATCCTGTGTGACAGCTACACATGAGGAAGGGTGAGCACATCCCTCTGGGGAGCAAGAAGAAGGGCCAAAGTCTTATAAAACACCGCAGAACAAGAATTCCCCCTGCCAAGCACGTTAACACAATTTGCCTGGTTTCCTCCCGGCGTAAAGCGAGACGCCGGTGATTCACAGCTCACCTCATAATTACTGAGCCCAAAAATAGCCGGGCCCAGGGACGGAAAGTGTCCGTGCTGGGTGACTCATGGCTGGGTCACTGCTGGCTAAAGCACCCCCAGACTGGGCTGGCACGGAGCAGGGATGTGAGGCACCCCCTTTTTCCAGGACAGAGCTGCATGGAGGTGACAGCGAAGCACCACAAGGGAGGATTGGAATTTTGGGATCTCTGGAACGGCGCGAAATCCCAAATGTCTGCAGGAGTTGATTGGGTAGCAGGGGGAAGAAAAAAAATAATTAACAGGATATTAATCCAGAGCAGCATGGGAATGGAGAATCCTTGTGTCTTGCCTGGTTACAAACTGCTGATGAGGGACTGCACACACCTAAACCCCGGCCTGCCTGCAAATGTCACCTTGCTCACAGTGCTCCCCAGCTACCTCCAGCGTGTCAGCAGGGTGTTTCTTCTTCTCTGACATTATTTCTTTATCAGGAAACAACGCTGAGCACTGAAAAATGGTGTTCCTAAACAGTGCTGACAGCACTGGTGACTGGAGTCAGCAGAAACGGAGAGGAAAACAGCTCCAAAGCTTCTTAGGTAGGTCAGAAGTCTTTCGTCAACGCTCTTCTAATCAGAAAAATTGTATTACATGCAGTGTTCTCAAAAGCTGAGCAGCTTGGAAATGTGCCTCGCTGAGAGACTGAAATGTTCTCCTCTCAGGAATCCAATGCTGGAAAATCTGGGAATTTCATTGCCAGACCCCAACCTTCCATGCTGGGCTGGGGGACCGCGTTTCCTGTTTCCACATTTGCGTTTTCCTGTGTTGTTTCTACATTCCCCCATAACATGCCAGTTCTGGTGTCATACACAAGTGCACCAAAGCGTTTTCGAGTGCTCCTAAATGATCCAGCATGAAACATCCTATTCTTCCTCCCTCTTGCAGCGAGGCAGATCCACACTTGCATTAAAAACAAACAAAACACAGTTGAGAACTAAAAGCCTATGTAGAAGTTTCAAGATTGGTATTTTTTTTTCCATCAATACTTGCAACCACAACATATTTTAGATTTCCAGTTTGCAGGAATGCTTGTGCATACTTGCATTCATTCCAGGTCAGAACAAAAGCTAATTTCCAGATGGGATTTACATTGAGTGGGCAGTTTGGAAAAGTTTTGACCAGTTCTATTAAGCCCAGAACCAGCTATTATAGTTCATTAATTGGATCTGAATCGAAAGTAAACAATTGGATTTAATTGAGGGAGGGACAAAGACACTTAACCACAGTATAATGTATAGTAAGGCAGGAAAGATTTGTCACATCAGTTATAGAAACTGTAAACTGAGAAAGGATTCTGGGAGGAAAATAAGGAATCGCATTTTATCACCTTCAAACAAGAAGCTCATGTTTGAGCACAGATTTAAGAACAAGCAAGACTAATGGTCTCACAGTGAAAAAAATAATAAACTATAACTTAAAAAGGCAACAACTCAAAACTCTTAAAATACAAAAAATGCCACAAACCAGAGAAAGTTTCTTTCAGATCAGCAGAGAAAGAAAGGAAAAGGGAGAACAGAAGGGAAAGGAACGGGGCTTTTTATTTGGTTTAAACTTAATTCTCATGAAACTTGAATAGAAATATTTCTGGGTGTTCCCCCAGCTCTGGACAGGCTCCTCTCCCCAACATCAACCATCCAGTTTATAGCCCATCAAACACTCCCAGTCCAGTTTTACTCATGCTCTGCTTTGCTTTTGATTCATTACATCCCTCCAAAACATCGCAAGGCTTTGTGTGCAGGGCAGCTTTGTCAATAAAGCTGCTTGGCACCATAAAAAAAATAATAAATCCAAACCCAAAACCCAGACCCAGAAAGTTTAATCAAAGCGAAAACAAGGCTCCAAGCAGAGGAATGGGAGCATACAAAATCCACGCAGTTTTTATCTGTGACTACAGGTCAGACTATAGAGATTTTTGAACCATCATTTTCCTCTCGTTACACAACACCAGCTGAGTTTTTTTCCTGACCTCTGCTGTTTATTTGTTTTGTTTTGTTTTTTTTCTGCACTATCTTAATGTTTAAATTATTTCAATTACACAGAAAATTCAAGTATCCCAAGTTCTAGGCTTGTTAAGAGCCCCAGGAACACAGAGAAAAAAAGAACATAACAAAGAAACAGATGCTCTATTTCCTTTAAGAGCCATCTCTTGTGATCATCTCGCAGTCAGGTTCAAGTTTTGCACACAAATAATAAGTTGTTCTGTGTATGAGCACGAAGCTTCAGAAAGGCGGCACCAAATTTTTCATACCAACACTGAGTTTTAATATTAAACAGAAAAACATGAATATTTTTAGCGTTACCCACGGGGTTATGGCAGCTCCTCTCCGAAGTGTCTGCAATGTGGAACCTATCAGGGTGATTTTTAGCTGCCTGCACACAAACAATTACAGATCATTACAGAGCTGTGAACGGCTGCTGCGTGGATAAAGCCCTGCCCTGGCTCTCCTGTTGCACTTGGCTCTGCCTGCCAGGACCTGCTGAGGTCCTGTACAGCCACAGCATCACTAATGTGAAGGATGAAACCCTCGTGTGTGGCTTGGGCAGAGGGACCTCCCACCTGCACCGTGGCCAAAGGAGACATTCCCAGGTGGGATTCGAGGCACAGCACACTCAGTGGCTCTTGCCACCTGCAATGAGGTCTTGGGGTTGTCACCTTCCAGCTGGAGAGTCTACAGATGCCTCCAAGCTCCTGAAAATAGTTTCCAGCATGCAAACAGTCTTCACCCAAACTCACCAGGCACTGGGCACTTGAGTGCAGAGGCTTTCCTCGTGCTCTGCTCTGCGCTTTTGTGGGTCTGCAGGGATCGGGTCCCATTAAAACCCCAACCTGTCCTGCTCCTGACCCACAGACAGGGCAGCAGGAGAAGCCAAGAGCCCTGTGCTAAGGCAGATGTAAGCCAGAACTCCTTTCCAGGGTGCTTTCAGCTCTGGTGCTCTG